TTCTCCCGGGCACCTACGAGGGAGGGAGCCGGCCCGAGGCTATTTTAAGTATTTGTTACCATTCCAGAAAGCTGACACAGGTTGATGTGAGGAGTTGCTTACTTCTTTTTTCCTAACATTGGAGCTCTACTGTTCAGAGATCAACATTGCTAATACAGTACCTGAGTTCATGAACTTAATTCATTGCACGACTCTGGAAAAATGCCCACATTTGTGTTCATGTGGGAAAGATGGCCATGGTTGTGTTTGTCACTTGATGCAGAGTTAGCTCATAAAGACAAAATTTTGCTAAATGCTTGTTTGTGAACCGAACTGTTTGCAAACAAAAGTGCTCCTGAACTGAGGTACTGCTATTTTGATGACATTTCTTTCAATAAGTGTATTTTTTTATGAACACATATACATAATGGGAACCTACATATAGTAGATAGCTTTTTTAAGTATCACTATGAGAATTTCCAAAATATCAAAATAGGAAGTAAAGTATTTTAAACTTGATTGCAACTTGTTACATATTTATTATTGAAATATTCAAAAAAGAGAATATCATAAACAATAGAGTACATAGTCCCACCACCCAGAAATAACACTTTTGTGTATATGGTTCCTGTCTTCTAAACATTTTATGTATGTAAATTACTATGCTTGCTATTTTGAAACTTGCTTTTTAAACTTGATACATTGCAGTTTTGGTATTCAGTAATTTTCTATAGCGCATTTCCAAAGGATGCATTCTTTTCCATGTATTAGTATATGTTTAAATAATCAGAAATTATAGACAACAACAAAATCTAATCAATCTTCATAGCATTCATAGAAGTGACCCTTTTTGTACATCTCTACTTTTATATTTAGAATAAATTCTAGCATACTGTTTGAAAGATGAAGGCGTTGTGTACTTATTGCCAGATTGTCCTTTGTAAAAAGGTTGTCCTTGTTTATGGTATTAACATATTCCTGCACTTATGCCACACTAGCTGTTATCACTTAAAGTCTATGTTCTAATCTGATTAAAATAGACCATTTAAAAATTCCATTTAAGTACTCTTTTGTGGATGTTATGGAACATAGTGTTTTATAGTTGAATAATACTTAACAACATAGAATGAACATTTTCTATTTGAATTCTGTGCTATTTTATATAATTCTGCCTAAGGTCTTTTCCTCTATGTACCTATATGTGTAGTATCTATCTACACATCATCTAACTATCATAACTTTTCCCACACACTGATTCTTTCCTTACTATAGACTTAAAGAATCTGATTACTGGATCAAAGGTTATTAACATTTTCCCTTTTTCTTATTAAAGTATACTTTTTCATTAAAGAACATTTATAAAATGAAGGTAAGTACAGTATAAAGAGAAAAGTATTCCTATGGCAGAGAAGGCTCACTGTCCACCAAAATTATAATTCTCTTTTGATAATTAGTCTGGAAACACATTTTCGAGCCCACACCTGTATTCAAGTGTCACCAGTGGTGTGTGAACTGTTTGCTTTCAAGCCAAGACTTTGAAGTTCAGGTATACCAGACTTTCTTCATGTTTCTTCTCCCTTCTGATGGAAGGGCACAGTGATAATGAGGCCCGAGGGGATATGAGGAACCATAGCACGGAGTCTGGGTCCCTTAATCACTGCATGAGAAAGAGCTCCCTACTAAGAGCACTGTTACATTTTTGCATGGAAAAGATATACTGTCACATTAAACTGTACTGGGTTAAGTCACTGAGCTTTTTTAGAATTATTGTTAATATTTTGGTATATTTTTCTGTTTTTTTCCCCCATTCATACTTTTTTCCCTTAGTTTAGAATGGAATGAATTTTTAAAAAGATTTTTGGTATGTATTGACAAAATGCTTTTTCAGAAACATTGCTTTAGCTGGGTGTGGTGGTGCATGCCTGTATTCCCAGCACTCAGGAGGCTGAGGCAGGAGAATCGTTGTGAGTTCAAGACCAGCCTGGACTAAAAGTGAGCTCAAGGCCAGCCTGAACTGCATAGTGAGACCCTGT